TTGTGCAGTGCCATGAAGTTGATGTTTCTCCATAAACTTCAACCAAAATGATGGTTAAATGTGAAAGTAGACGGGAGAGTGCTGTGATCTTCAAACAAAATGGACAAAAGAGGATGTGGGAAAATATGAAGTGTAAAAAAATGCATTTTTCTTGCTCTGTTGTCTTGTTTTGCAAAATAGTTATTTCTCAGACAAAATATTGTTTCTGTTAACACACAATAAGATAGTTATTTAAAGCGGGCAGGGGTAGGGCACGCCTTTAATCCCAGCATTCAGGAGGCAGAGGCAGGAGGATCTCTTGAGCTCCAGGTCAGCCTGGTCTACAGAGTGAGTTCCGGGACAGCCAGGACTACACGGGGAAACCCTTTCTCCAAAAACAAAAACAAACAAACAACAACAACAAAAAAAGATAATTATTTAAAAATTAATTTGCGCCGGGCGGTGGTGGCGCACGCCTTTAATCCCAGCACTTGGGAGGCAGAGCCAGGCGGATCTCTGTGAGTTGGAGGCCAGCCTAGGCTACCAAGTGAGTTCCAGGAAAGGCGCAAAGCTACACAGAGAAACCCTGTCTCGAAAAACCAAAAAAAAAAAAATTAATTTGGAATGACTGGAGAGTCGGCTGTGTGGTTCAGAGCACCTGTCCCGTAGAGGACCTGGGCTCAGTTCTCAGCACCCACATGGTGGTTCACAACCACACAAAACTCCAGCTCCAGGGGATCTGACATCTCTTCTGACCTTCAAGGGCTCCAGGCATGCATTCTGCTCTCCTCATGTGCAAGCCTGGCACACCGGACGGTGAGGGTGAGAAGAGTGTCCCAGTGCTCAGCACTTTTCAGTCTGAGGGGACAACAGTGGATGTGTGTCACCTCTGCCACCACATTTCAGGACCCCGTCTGCAAGGACTCCAACAGGCTGGTGTCCTGTGAGGTTTTCAAGTAAAACCAGGAGCCTCTGAGGTCCATGTGAGGCACATGTGTACTCTGTACAAAGGTAATGAACATGGAGGGCAGACAGCAGCCCAATGTAGGACACAGCAGGGACTCACTGTCATAGAAAAGACAGGCTCAGTGTTTTGTCCTGTCCATGGCTTCCTTGAGCTCCTAGGTCAGCATTACTGTGCTATGGGATCTGAGGCTGAGGCAGACTAACTTTCTTTGTAGCTAGAGTCAAGAAACATGACTGATGACAAGGTCATGGTTGCCCCGTGGGAATTCCACACAGGACCCTCTGAAGGCATCCGTGTGGGAGATCATGTTCCATCTTGTATGTGACGACTCTAGCGTGACAGTGATTGGTCCGAAGCCCACTGCTGGGGACTGGGATGGTGCAGGCTGCTGTGCCAGTGTGAGCATCAAGGCCAAGTGTGAGGAGAGTGATCTGAAGTACACAGAAGGAGGCTGTTGGAAAACTAAGCCAGTGGCACCAGCTCCACAGTGGCACCAGGGCCTGAGGGTGTCCAGACAGTGCCCGACAAACAACCGATTCCATGAAGCCCACATATGTCAGGTCTCACAGTGAAAACCTGTCTCATAAAACAAAGAGAGCCAGGCCTGGTGGTGCACGCCTTTAATCCCAACACTCAAGAGGCAGAGGCAGAGAGATCTCTGAGTTGGAGGCCAGCCTAGTCTACAGATTAAGTTCCAGGACAGGCAGGGCTACACAGAGAAACCCTGTCTTGACAAACCAAATGAAACAGAACATAGATGCCATGGTTTGAAAGAAAATGGCCCCCAAAGGGAGTGGCACTGTTTGGAGGTGTGGCCCTGTTGGCAGAAGTGTGTTATTGTGAGGGCAGGCTGTGAGGTCTCTTTTTCTCAAGCTTCCCCCATGAGACAGTTGGTCACTTTCCTGTTGCCAGCAAGATGTAGGACTAACAGCTCCAGCACTATGTCTGCCAACATGCTGCCATGCTCCCATTCATGATCATAATGGACTGAACCTCTGAAACTGTAAGTGAGCATCCCTTAGTTAAATACTTTCTTTATAAGAAATATATGGTCATGGTGTCTCTTCACAGCAACAGTAAACCCTAAGTAAGACATTAGATTAAAGTATTTGGGTTAATTTGTTATAAGAACTAGTTAGAAACAAGCCTAAGCTATAGGGTGAGCATCCATAATAAATAATAAGTATCCATGTTGTGATTTGACAGCAGGGACAGAGAAAGTCTCACTATAAATGATGCTCAACCTCCAGGCACATATTTCTACATAAGATCTGAGACAGCTTTAAAAAAGTTTCCAAACATACAAAAATGGAGTCAAACACGGCTCCTTAGTCCTGCAGTCTCTCACATGGTACAGAAATGCATCTCGTGGACACTACATGCAGGCTTGAGCCACCAGTGAACCATGAGCTAAGCTACTCAATGGTTTAAGGTTTTGCTCATGCAGACAGAAAAGGTTACAGATACACAGTAAAGCAGGTTCAGACAGACAAAACCTCTTAACAGGTTACAGTGTGTTTATCAGTATGCTTAAGTTTAAGAAAAATAAAGAAAAGAATACAGTCACAAAAAAATAAGCAGTTTTAAAAAATAGTCTTTAAAGAGAGAAGTAATAAAAAAGAATAAATCTTGAAAAGATGGGAAATATTATAACACAAGGAGTTATATGGTACTTGTTAATTTTGATTTTTTTGAATGCTAATGAACTACAGCTGCTGAGAGACACTGGACTGTGGAAGGCACTCCTGAATTAAACCAACCTATATACCTTAGGAATGCCTTAACTTAGACATCTATAACAATCAAACTTATGGTCATGGTAGGTATGCTTTCAAGGTCATACAGAGATAGGTTTTAGATAGATAGTGATCTTCAAACACTTCAAAGACCTACAGAATATGACATTTAAAATGTTATAATAACATAACGCTTTTCATGATGAGACACATCTGCTCCTGGCAGAACAAATTTACTTCAGAGAAGATGATGGGTATCGAAGAAACTCCATGTAGAGTTTGCTTTCAAGGTGGCAAGAGCTGTAGGATAATGCTCTGGTACACTGTAAAGATTTGTTAATTGATTGGTTTGATTAAATGCTGATTGGCCAGCAGCCAGGCAGTAAGTATAAGCAGGGTGGGCTGATTAGGTGAATCTGGGAAGAGGAAGGGTGGAGTCAAGGACTCACCAGCCAGATGCAGAAGAAGCAAGATGAGAATGTTGTACTGAGAAAAGGGGCCAAGCCACATGGCTAAATATAGATAAGAATTATGGGTTAATTTAAATGTAAGAGCTAGTTAGAACTAAGCCTGATCTATTGGCCAAGAATTCATAAGTAATATTAAGCCCCTAAGTCAATTATTTGGGAAGCAGCTGCCTGGTATTTGAGTTGTTGGCTGGACACAGAAACTTCCACCTAGAGCAAGAACAGCCATTTGGGCAAGAAACTGCTCTTGTCTTAACTACTGACAGTGTGCTGTACAAACTGGACAAGCAGGACACAAAGGAAAAGATTGTTGAACTTTGCCAAGACAAGGCGGGACAGTCCTTCAAAAATTCCTGCTTCACAGAAAAGTCTGTCAGATAATCTGGGCCTGTAGGCTGAAGATGGATGTCCTAGCATTACAGAAGAACCCTGGGGTGACTGACCAGGCAGCCAGATGTCTCTGTCATTTCATAGTTTTGGAAGTTGCTTGCTCAGCACTTCCTGTTTACTCAGGTGATATTATATCCTTCTCAGGGCTTTGATGGAGTTGAAGACTAGATAGTTATAGTTACAGTTACAGTTTCCCTTAGTCATGATAGAAAGTAAATTAGGTACAAAGGTTTGGATTCATCAAGAGAGGATAGATAATGGAATGTTTTCATATAAATTTGCCAAATATCAATGGAACGGACATTGTAAATGTATTTCTTACTTGGTAATTGGTCTTACTGTATGCATATTCCATCCTTAGAGTTAAATCTTTCCTCTTCATTTAGACGAAATGGGGGAATGTTGTGAAATAATCTTTTCATACACTGTGAAGAAACGTCACTTTCATTCGTTTAATAAAAAGCTGAACAGAGCCGGGTGGTGGTGGCGCACGCCTTTAATCCCAGCACTCGGGAGGCAGAGCCAGGCGGATCTCTGTGAGTTCCAGGCCAGCCTGGGCTACCAAGTGAGTTCCAAGAAAGGCGCAAAGCTACACAGAGAAACCCTGTCTCGAAAAACCAAAAAAAAAAGCTGAACAGCCAATAGCTAGGCAGGATTTCCAGGCACAGAGGATTCTGGGAAGAAGGGCAGAGTCACCAGGAGACTTGAGGAAGCATAACATATAGGAGAAGCTAGAGATGCTAGAGATGCAGAGCAAGCAGCATTCATGGACCTTACAAGGTAAAGGTAACCAAGCCAGGAAAAGTTATGTAGATTAAAATATATGAGTGAATTTAAGTTATAAGAATTAATTAGAAACAAGCCTAAGCTATCAAGTGAGCTTTCATAATTAATAAGTCTCCATGTCTGGTTTGGGAGCAGGCTGGCGGGACAGAGAAAGACTAGCTACAACCTTCGCTCCCACTTTATGAACTAATGAGATGAGGGAGATGAATGTCACAGGCCTGTGGAGCCCTGGGTCTGAGAACAGTTGGCTCCTGAGTTCCTCAGGCCTGTGCAGGGTGGACACCGGGCAGAGGTAATTCTCATGGCAGAGGTACACACTGGGGATTAGAGGTTTCATCCCTGTTCAATAATGTGGAGAAAAATTAAGTTTATAAATCTTTCCTTTCTGTGGATTTTGACTTGGTATTTTCAAATCCCAGCCACACATAACAGAAGTAGAAAGTGAAAGCAGAGGTGAGTAGGGACTCCAGCACGGAGAGAGTCACAGATAACACAGTGTGTCAAAAGCCCTTGACCAGAGCTGTGAAAACTCCAGTCACCTCCCGATGACGGTGTCCACGGCAGCCCCGCACCGTCACCAGGACTCCGACAGCACCTGTTTCCTGAACATTCATTTCAAGTGCTGTGTGTGTTTTCCCTGGACACTTCGTGCTCTTAGGTTTCATCCTGACGAACCTGAGGAGACAGTTGTCCTTAGGCGGCTCAGAGACACCACGACAAACATCGCTCCGTCCCGCAGCACAGGGTTCAGCAAAATCTCAGTCCCCAGGCAGTGAGGTCTGGGGTGGGAGCCCAGGGCTGGGGATCCCCAGGTCCCCAGTTTCACTTCTCCAGCTCCTGACCTGGGTCGGGTCCTTCTGCCCGGACACTGATGACGAGTGTCCTGTTCTCACCCCCATTGGGTGCCGAGATCGCGGAGAACCAATCAGCGTCGCCGCGGTCACGGGTTATAAAGTCCACGCAGCCCGCGGAACTCAGACGCCCCAGATCCGAGATGAGGGCGACGGCTCCGCGCGCGCTGCTCCTGCTGCTGGCGGCCGCCCTGGCCCCGACCCGGACCCACGCGGGTGAGTGCGGGGTCGGGAGGGAAACGACCCTGCGGGGAGGGCGGGGGCGGCCCCGGGGAAGCCGCGTCCCCGTCGCCCGGCCAGACCCTCCCGCCCTTCTCCACCGCGTCCCGAGCCCCGCGCCCTGCTCCCCTCCCGGCCCGCGCACCCGCCCGGGGTCCGGGAGGAGGGTCGGGGTCTCACCGCGCGCCGCCCCCAGGCTCGCACTCGCTGCGGTATTTCTACACCATCGTGTCCCGGCCCGGCCTCGGGGAGCCCCGGTACATGGAAGTCGGCTACGTGGACGACACGCAGTTCGTGCGCTTCGACAGCGACGCGGAGACCCCGAGGATGGAGCCGCGGGCGCCGTGGGTGGAGCGGGAGGGGCCGGAGTATTGGGAGAGGAACACACGGAACGCCAAGGGCCACGAGCAGACTTTCCAAGTGAACCTGAGGACCGCGCTCCGATACTACAACCAGAGCGAGGGCGGTGAGTGACGCGGGTCGGAGGTCACGACCCCTCCACGTCCCTACGTACGGGCCGGAGTCGCCCCGGGTCCCGGGTCCGAGGTTCCGGAGGAGAGTCGGGGACCGGGACCCGGTTTCCCTTTCGGTTTAGAGGAGTCCGCCGGTGGGCGGGGCCGGGCCGGGGCGGGTGGGCGGGGCCGGGGCGGGGCTGACCGCGGGGCCCCGCAGGCTCTCACACCATCCAGCTCATGTACGGCTGTCACGTGGGGTCGGACGGGCGCCTCCTCCATGGGTACCATCAGTTCGCCTACGACGGCCGCGGTTACATCGCCCTGAACGACGACCTGACGACGTGGACGGCGGCGGACACGGCGGCGCAGATCACCCGGCGCAAGTGGGAGCAGGATGGTTATGCAGAGAGACAGAGGGCCTACCTGGAGGGCGAGTGCGTGGACTGGCTGATCAGCTACCTGGAGATCGGGAAGGACACGCTGCAGCGCACAGGTGCAGGGCCGCGGGCAGCTCCTCCCTCTGCCTCGGGCTGGGCTCAGTCCTGAGGAAGAAGAAACCCCTCAGCTGGGGTCATGCCCCTGTCTCAGGGCAGACAGTGTCCCTGGGTCTCCTGATCCAGCATGGCAGGGGCCGCACTGACCCCAGGCTCAGCCTTCTCCCTGGACAGTTGCAAATCTGTGTCAGGAGAGGAGATGCCGACATCACCACAGTGGCTCCTGCAGTCTGCAGCCGCTGTCAGCCATGGCCTCTCCCAGGCCGGGGTCTCTGCCCACACCAGGGTCTGTGGAAACTGAGTCCTGTCATCTGAGTGTCAGCCTTACACGACAGGACCGGAAGTCTCCTTTACCTGATGGGAGACATGGACGCCCCTACCCTAGGCTGGTTCCATAGGTTCTAGAACTTTCCAAAGATACATTCTCCCAGATTCCTGTGGGTGAGGTTTACATCCCTCACACCCCAATTACGTCTATTCCTAGAATAGTCACGTGTGCACTTATGGGGTGCCCTGGGTGAATACTACATTGTGGGGGGCCTTTTCTTTTTTTTCTTCCTTCCTTTTTTTTTTTTTTTTTTTGAAGTTGTCATTTTGCTTTTAGTCAGTTTTTCTTCCTCACTGGGGTGATATTGTTTCTCTCTTTTCCCCTTTATTATCATCTGTATCCGTCTCCACAGGAGCCAGGGGGAACTGCTAATCTGGATAATTAGACAAGTCAGTGTTTCCTTTAAACTAGAAAGGTTCCTGTGAGCTTAGACTGTTTTCTGCCATATTAACATCCAGAGCCCTCCTGCTCTCCCTCGGCCCCAACAAGTCACAGTGTTGTCCCAGTGGATTAGGAATTGAACTTCCTCAGAGACAGGGTCTTCTGCAGCTCCAGGACAGGAGTGACAGGGAAGATCCACACACCCTGTGAGCACTGCTGTGTCCCAGAGAGTGCTGCACTGGGCTCCACAGCACACTTCCAGGGGTCCTGGTGACAATACCTTATGTCTTGTCCCCCAGAGGTGGGACTTGGGGAGTCATTTTCTCTGACTGAGTGTCAGAGGTTCACCACATTTCTGCTGCACACTTTGGTGATGGCTGTTCACTTGGACAGACAGTTATGCTGGTCAGCAAGATGGCCACAGTGGTTTTGCCTCAATGGTGGCAGCAGGAGTTGGTGGCACCCTTCATGGAGCCCTTGTACCTGATTTCTTATTTTGATATGAATTAATAACATATACATTAATTATTTTCCATTCCTTCATTCTTTTACTACCTAACTAACGCTGTAGAACATCACATGAGGAAGACCATGCTGACCTGCTGGCTCATGTGGATTCCCTCTTAGCTGCTGAGTCCCCCCAGGAAAATGTGCAGCTCTGTGATGAGGGGACCAGCTCTACCTGAGGTCACTAGTGTGATGACAGAATTGTCCAAACAGACACAGTTTAGTGTCATCATTGGTTTAACTGTGTCTTTGCAGATTTCTGTTTATCTTGTTAATTGTGGGATTTCTTAAATTTTCCACACAGATCCCCCAAAGGCACATGTGACCCATCACCCCATACTGAAAGGAGACGGCACCCTGAGGTGCTGGGCCCTGGGCTTCTACCCTGCTGAGATCTCCGTGACCTGGCAGAGGGATGGGGAGGATCTGATTCAGGACATGGAGCTGGTGGAGACCAGACCTTCTGGGGATGGAACCTTCCAGAAGTGGGCAGCTGTGGTGGTGCCTTCTGGGGAGGAGCAGAGATACACATGCCATGTGCACCATGATGGTCTGCCTCAGCCCCTCACCCTGAGATGGGGTAAGGAGGGTGTGGGTACAGAGCTGGGGTTAGGGGAAGCTAGAGCCTTCTGCAGACCCTGAGCAGGGTCAGGGCTGAGAGCTGGGGTCATGACCCTCAACTTCCCCTCCTGTCCTTCCCTTCCAGAGCCTCCTCAGTCCACTGTCCCCATCATGGCAATCATCATTGCTGTTCTGGTTCTCCTTGGAGCTGTGGCCATTGTTGCTGTGGTGGCTGTTGTGAGGAAGATGAGGAGAAACACAGGTAGGAAAGGGCAGGTCTGGTTCTCTCTCAGCCCCTTTTAGAAGTGTGCTCTGCCTCATTAATGGGAAACATCCACACCCCTCATTGCTCCTGTCTCTGACCTGGGTCTGCAGTCAGTTCTGGAACCTTCCTAGGATCAGGGTCTTCCCTGGTCTCTCACAGCTTTTCTTCTCACAGGTTCAAAGAAAAGGAAGTATACTCCGGCTCCAGGTAAGTGTGGGGAGCAGGATTGTCCTGAGGCCCTTAAGGTAAAGCTAGAGTATTTGGGGAGGTCTGCCAACCCATAATACCTCCTCCAGTGAAATCTTCTAGCGGCCATGTTTTCACCTTCCTGTGACTATATATAATTTTACCCTAGGCAGGGAGAGTGTCCAGAGCTCTGATGTGTCTCTCCCAGACTGTAAAGGTGACACTCTGGGGACTGATTTGGGGAGGGGCAAAGTGGACATGATTGGGGTTCAGGGACTCCCAGAATCCCCTCTGAGTGAGTGGTGGGTGTTGGGATGTTGTCTTCACAGTGATTGTTCATGACTCTTTTTTGTAGCGTGAAGACAGCTGCTCGGCCTGACAGAGTGACAGATGATGTGCTCAGGTCTCTCCTGTGACATCCTGAGCCCCTCAGTTCACTCTCAGCAACAGTGTCTGATGTTCGCTGTGACCCTAGGGGCTCCATGTGAAGAACTGGGGAGCCCAGCCCCCCCTGCACACCAGGACCCTGTCCCTGCACTGCCTGTGTTCCCTTCCACAGCCAACCTTCCTGGTCCAGCAGACAGGAGGGGACATCTCCTTCCTGTCACCTCCATGCTGCCCTGAGCTGCAGCCCCTGACTCCTCACTGAAAATAAGAATCTGAATGTGAACTGGATTGTTCATGTCCTTGATCTGACAGGTGGATTGATGGGTAAATTAAATGATTGAAATACTTAGAGTTGGGGGCTGGAGAGATGGCTCAGAGGTTAAGAGCACTGGCTGTTCTTCCAGAGGTCCTGAGTTCAATTCCCAGCAACCACATGGTGGCTCACAACCATCCGTAATGAGATCTGGCGCCCTCTTCTGGCCTGCAAGCCTACATGTAGGCAGAATACTGTATACATAATAAATAAATAAATCTTTAAAAAAAAAAAAAAAATACTAAAAAAAAAAAAAAAAAAAAAAAAAAGAAATACTTAGAGTTTGTGGAGGAAATAAATGGCATTATGGAGAACCTTCCAGAATCTGTGTTCTTTGTGCTGTGTGTATCTGGTGGACAAGATGAGGCTGTGGGAGCTGAGTGTGAACAGGACTGTGCCCAGGTGGAGCTCAGTCCATTGTTGGCTGTGACATGGGTCACTCCTCAGCTCTGTCACCTGGCTCTGTTCTCTTCATCACTTGAACCACATGCTGAGAGTCTGTGATCACAGGGACACTGGGATGACAGAGCCTTGTCCTGTCCCCAGGATTGTGAGCAGCCAGGGCAGCTGTGACAGGTCAGCCTGGGCTCTGACCTGGCCATGGCTCTTCACCCTGTCTTCTCTTTATTTCTTGTCTTTTTAGTTTGTATGGAGGACTAGGCCTGTTCTTGTTCCTGTGAGTGGTCCCTGCTGCCATGGACTGGCCCACCGGGAGTACCACGACCGTAGGAGAACCAGGGCTTGGGTATTCAGGAAGGCAAGGATTCGGCGAATGACAGACAGACAACACACTCAGAAGTGGTTTGAATCTGCTGCAATTTTACTTCTGCAAATCAGTAGTTTATATACAGAAAACTATCAAGTCATACAAGGAACAACAAGAGCTTGGCAATA